ATGATGATGATGATGATGATGATGATGATGATGATGATGATGATGATTATTATTAAGATAAGAGCTTTATTGATCTCACAGTGGAGGAATTCACTGGTCACACATCGGTTAGAGTTCAAAAGGAGGAAAAGGTGCATAAAGTACAGCAAAAACAAACAAATATACAAGGAAGCAACACAGCGCAGAGATTTTATTTTATTTTTTATTGTCATTATTATTGTTGTTTTGCTGCTTTTCTTTAGCTGCTGTTACTGTGGGAGGACCCGTCTGAGTGCCTTTGCGCACCTGGTAGTTCCCTTTTAGGACCTGGCGGAAGTCCGTGCTGCGAAAGCCCCCGGCGGCTCACTTCTCTCCTCCGCTCTTCCTCTCCGCGTCCTCATCAGCTGTCGCGTGCAGCAGGAGCAGCAGGAGCGGTGCCGGGGACCAAAAAAATCCTTCACCCCCCCACACACCCCCCAACCCCACCAACCTCCTTTTTTTATTGTTTCACGCACTCTCCTACCCGTGGAGTCCATGTAGCTGTCCCGATCGACGGACGCCAGACAACAGATGAAGATGAGGTACTTCTCAGGGCTCGATCTAAACTTTTTTGGGGGTGAGATTGTGAGAAAGTTGAAGGTTTGCGTGTGACAAACTTGCTGTATCTCCGCAGGTGCTCGTCGTGGCCGGTGCGCGTCCTGTGCTGCGTCCTTTTCCTCGCCATCCCAGCCGCTGCGCAATGGCCAGGTAGGGGGCTGATGCTTTTATAAATGTTTGCAGCTCTCATCACTTTGCTGCAGAAAACTAGTCTCTCAGTGTCAAACTCATGGAGGGTTTTCGGTTCTCAGGAGTCCACTTGGTCATGGTCATTATTTGGGAGCATTTTTGCGCACTGAAATGGATTTCGGCCAACACTGATGTCCCTCCATTTCTACAGTATTTTAGTAATAATTGGAGGGTGCTCTGCAGAGTCATATGAGGTTTCCACATGTGGAGCGCGGATGTTTGCCCACCTTTGTCTGCTTTGTCGTGTGCTGTGTTAACAACCCTCTCCAGCCGGCTTTTACGCACCCCTGACTCGGCTGGCTTTCTCCATCACAAAGCTGTGCTGACACATTGTTACAATTTAGTTGAAAAAACGCAGCGGTTTTACTTTCCCAAGAAGTTTTTTTTTCTCCTCTCGCCAATTGTTCAGTCTGCTGCGTGTTGTTAACACACTTGCATTGCAACACAGACCATTTTTGGTGTGTTTGGTCCATATTTGACCAAGTAATGTCTCCATCCGGGGTAAAAAAAAAAACTGATTAACAGAAAAGGAGGATCTCTGCATCTCTGTCTTTTGAGCCAGATTAGAAGATAATGGAGCATTGGCTTTTGTCGGTGATGGTGTTCAAGAGCCACAGCCTGAAAGAACTCAGCTCCTGAATAATTTATCTTCTGAAAAAGCTCTAAAGTTGTACCTTTTAATTTAGCGTAGGTCAGCTGGAGAAGTACAAAGCTGTCAGACGATAAGGGACAGGAAACTGAGATGATGGTCATTAATATTTGATTGACTAGGATAAAGGACTTGAAGTTGAATTTGGGGATAGCCAAAATGGATTATGTTGTTGTTTAAAATGAATGTAATCCTTCTAATAGACGAGCAGAACTTAAATTGCATTGTGCAGATCTAGTTTTTCTTCTCTGCTTTTGGTTGTATTTTTAAATGACGAAGCAGATTTTTGAGGGAATCGCCTCTCTGGTCGGGATGCTCTATTAGCGTTGAAGTTAGTTTAGTCATTCCCAGCGTGACACTCTCACAGGAATGCTGTGCTGTCTGTGTGGTGCGGGATGAAAAGGCCTGCCACTCTGTCTCAAGAGCAAAGCCTCGGCCGCCTGCAACATGCTTGAATTAGGTCTGATTCATTCCCATTCCCTCGCTGGGTCAAGAATCCCTATTGTCATGTGATCTTTGACATGCACCCACCATGGTTTTGCCTGAAGGGAGCAGGACATAGCCGGGGGGAGGGGCGAGGTTGTAAGGGACCCCCACCTACTGTGCAATTTAATGGCTGAACTAGATGCAACTTTCAAATCATTGCTAGCTTGA